TGAAGATTGGAAACTCCATGGGACAGTTCTCCTCTACCCTATTGGGTCACTAGGAGTTGGGATCGATTTAGTGAGGGTTGGTTTGGTTGTTTGGTTGATTTCTAACTCTTGCTCTTGCTCCTGCTGGCAGGATAGCCTTGGGGCAAGTCATTTAACTTTACTGAGCCTGAGTCAAATTGTGTTTAAGTAAATACAGTTACATAACAAGTATAAAAGTCCTACAAACTAAAAACATTAAAAATGTAATTGCGATCATTATTATGGAACTTGTCTTATAATGCATATCTTATAATCCACTGAACAAGATCCACAATAAGATCAGTTATCGTTGCTTATTCTTTAACTTGTGTTTTCTCTACCTGATTCTCACTGGTATTTGAAATGTTGAGCAGTGGATAGCCTAAATCTATATGCATGTATCTTTCTATAACCCAAGGAAGATTAAAATCCTGAAAGAGTTTTAGGAACTGGGAGTAAGACCTGAGGCTAACAGAGAGTTCTTTTGTCTGAAAGCAAACTAGAGCAGGAAAGGAAAAGAAAGAGAATGGAATGTTCTGGCTGACCTCTGTTACCATTTCTCTAAATGTTCGTGGTTTGGGAGAGGAAGAGTCGTGGGGAGAACGCTAAAATACCTTTTTGCTCTTACTGAATTCCCCCCCACTGCCGCCCCTTTACCTTGTTCACCATAATAGATAATAAATAAATAAATAAATTCCCTGTCCTTGATTCAGATCCGACTTATAGCGACCCTTCCTTGGGTGACCCCTCCTTGGGTTCCTGAGGCATTATCAGTACAGAAGTAGATTGTTCAACCTTCCTTCTGGGTTTGAACCGCCCGCCTTCTGGTTAGCAGTCAAATGCCTTAGGCACTACGCCACCAGAGCTCATCAACAGATGAGGAAAATTAAATTCTCATCATAAAATATTTGAGACTTCTGTAAAAAAAATCCTTTTTTCTTTCCTTTTTTATTTCTCCCTCTGTATCCTGCTCTTCCATTCTTTTCTTTTTCTCATACTTTGTATGTCATTTCTAAAAGTATCCCTTCTATGCCTGTCTTCCCTACCTTCTTTGTCATTTATCTCTTCCTTTCCTCTTTTCCTTGCTGGTAATATGACTTCACTGGCAAATTAATGTGATCATAAATACTTTCCTATTCTATTATATGCTCTTTATTGCTTATGCCAAGTATGATAGTTGACATTTAAATATAATACAGCAAGTGAAAGACCTTGTAAATTACTAAATTGCATTTCCACATATAGTATGCTGTTGGGTATAGTAAAAATGAGCACTTATATTAGCTGTGAGAATATATCCATTCAAATGAATTCTCAGATATGAAATTACTAAGCCAAAGGGTATGAAATTGAACACTTAAGGCTGTCAGCACACACTGCCAAAACAATTATCTGAGAATCCATTTGAAAGAAATAGTCTTAAATAATTAAAAGACTATGAGTAACATCTTTATGCCTAGCAGTAAGGGGAGGGGTGATTATATGGCTTGTTATATAGCCATTAAAAATGGTGTATAAAATAGGGAGAATACATAATTTAAAAAGCAGCATATCATTTTGTACCAATAGTGTATTTTGGCGATATAATACCCCACGTTGAGTAGAACTGCTCCTTAGAGTTTCTAAGGCTGTAATCTTTATGAAAGCAGACTGCCACATCTTTCTTCCACAGAGCTTTTAGTACATTTGAACAGCCAACCTTTTGGTTAGCAGCTGAGTGCTTAACCACTGTGCCACCAGGGCTTCTTTTGTTAAAAGCTGAATAGTTTCTCTTCTAGGAATTTATCTGATGGAAAAATAATTAAGGCTGTGAATAGATAAGAAGCTATTTATCCCTCTATTTACAATTACAAAATACTACTCAAATCCTAAATGTCTAATAATAGTGGATTGGTTAAGTTATATGTTCTATCATTGCAAAATTAGACAGCATTACAAAGCATGTTGTAGAAGACTAATGGTGGCATCATCTTCTACAACACATACATATGTGAAAAAGAGGAAGCATGTACACTAAAACATTTTTTCTGAGTAGCAAGATAAGGAATTTTTAATTTTTCCTTTGGTGATACATGAATTATGTTTTTAATATAAATAATAAACATATTTTTTTAAATTTTATTTTTGAAAAATTACCTATATTTAAAGAAAAGACTTGACGGGAGTACACCAAAATTTTAAGTACTAGCTGTTTCTGACTGGTGAAACTAAAGGTATTTTTTTTCCTACTTTTTGTCTTTCCCATGTTTTTTATTAATAAATACACTTTTATTATTGGAAGTAAAGATTTTATGTTTTAGCTTTGTTAAAAGCATGGTTGATAAGCAATAATTAACATAATATCATGTCATTTTTATATATTTACTTAACTTTTTAAAAATTTCATTTTATTTTCATTTTTAGGCCAGAAATGTACATACAGGAGAGTTGGCTGCCATAAAAATTATCAAATTGGAGCCTGGTATGTATTAAAACCCTCAACATGATTTTTGAACAGTTTTATTATATAGTTCATAAATACAGATTTAAAAGCATTTTCCAGATTTCCTTCCTTCCTTGTTTCCCTCCTTCTGATAAGAAGTCTTCTGTGAAGGGCAATAGAATATCTCCAGCTTGGGTATATTAAATTCCATTGGAATTTGTTAGTTAAAGACTTGTTTGGTGTGATAGTTTTGCTGCTAAATAAAAATTGAAACGTGTGCATTTAGAGATTGGACAGCACATTGACTGGTAATGTTAACTTAGTTTTCTTTTTAATTATAGTTAAATATTTGAACTTCACTTTTAGTTTTTATGAGCATTTGATTGAGAAAGTATTCACTAATTTTTTAGGAGATGGGAAGGGCAGATTTATTTAGATAGTTAAGAATTTATGAATTCAAAAGAAATATATCCAGGATAATGATATTTTTATGTCAGCTATACCTTAGGTAGTTGATTTAGATTTGATGATTCTGGTCTTAGCCTAATGGTTTGCTTATTTTATTAACAGCTCTTTGTCAGAAAGCTATTTGTTTTACGTTGAGTAATTTGCTTTGAAAACAGAATTGCTGTATAAAACATGAAACAGTTTTAGAATTCTGATAAAAGTTTCTAATGAGAGCAGTAGTAATTTTTGACCCATTGGGTCAAAAATATAGTGTGATGTGTTCATTTGTTGGTTCATAAACTTAAGACACAGAGTCCCTGGATAGTGCAAATGGTTAACGTACTTGGCAGCTAACTGAAAGGTTGGCAATTCAAATTCACCTAGAGGTGCCTCAGAAGAAAGGCCTGGTGATCTACATCTGAAAATCAGCCATTGAAAACCCTGTCACAGTTCTACTCTGACACACATGGGGTGGCCATGAGTCAGAATCAACTCATTGCAACTGGTAAACTTAGACATACAGAGTGATTGTGACCATAGTTATCTATTAAACAATTAATTAATTTGAGCAGTTAAAATAGTTTTGCATTAAAACAAAATATTTGGATTTTTATGCATATGGTTCTTTAGAGAGATAATGATATTACTGAGGTATATGCTGAACACTTCAAAAATAAGCTTTCAGATGTCATAATATCCTTTTTTCTATCAGATAGAAATTGTTATAATACTTTTCTTCAGAGTCCTCTTATTAAACTACGCTCCACATAAGTAGAGAATGATCTCCAAAATATCACTAACACAACTGGAAAGGAATGTAACAGAATTACACAAGCATTTACATCTCTTGGACAGGAATCGCTGTAGCAAATATTCAAGTTGTGTTCAAGGGATGGTTGTAGTCAAGATAATGGTCTGGGTTCTTGGAGGAAACAAAGATGTTTACTTTACTGTGCTGTCAGTGAATGCACTGGCCTTGTTATAGCACAGTTTGATTTATTTGGTTTGAGAGTATGAGTTATTTTTGATTCAAGTCCATCTAATGAATTAATACGTATATTTTTAAAATCATATAATTCTGATTTCTCAATAAGCCATTTAAGAATTCAGATAGTGAAACAATGTATTTAAAAATATTTTGTGTATTATGTTATTTACATAAAATGATTAATTGCTTACCCTGTAAATTTAGACCCTTTGGAAGATTATAATTTGCTACTGCCTTGCTTTATAAAAGTTACTGATTTGTGTTAGAAATCTCTTATATAAAACGTGAGTAATATTTAAATTCTTCCTTAAAGAATAACATAAAGTTCAGTAAAACAATGATGTCATTTCAGTATTTGGACATTTCTTTCTTTTTTTCTTTCTTAAATTTTTATTGTGATTTGGGTGAAAGTTTATACAGCACTTCATACACATTTTGTTTCATGACGTTGACTATAATTCCCAACAATGTAACAGCTCTCTTCCCACTTCCTCCCTGTAGTTACCTCTTCCCTGTGCCCTTCTTTCCTATGCATTCCTGCCCCCTGTGCTATCTCCCTGTACAAATACTGTCCTTCCATTTTCCCATGATTGATTATTCTGAGGAATATAGCTACCTGATAGAAATGTTCACCCTATATGCCTGTCTGTTGTTTGGCTGGAAGGCATGGGAATGAGTTCAGTTCCAGACCTGATGGGTGACTAGGAGCAATTGTCTTGGGGTTCTCACCAGGCTCTATAGTAAACCTGGTCATTTTTATGATTTTGAGTTTTGTTCCACATTGTTTTCCCACTCTATGCAAGATCTCCTGCGCTGATCCCTTTCCGAGTGGTTGACAGTACTAGCTGGGCACCATCTAGTTCTTCTGGTCTCATGGTCATATAGGCTGAGGTTCACATGGTCCGCTAGTCCCTTGGACTAATTGTTTCTATGCACCTTTGGTTTTCTTCATTCTTCTTTTCTCTGGATGAGGAGAGACCCATTGTTGCATCTAGATGATATTTGGCCATTTTTATATTCTGTTAATTGCTTGCTCTTACCCTTTACCCCGTGAGTCCCTAGGTGGTGCAAATGGTTAATTGCTCAACTACTAGCTGAAAGGTTGGCTTTTTGAACTCACTCAGAGGTGCCTTGGAAGACAAGCCTGGTAATCCACTTCCAAAAGATCATAGCCTTGAAAACCCTGTGGAGCAGTTCTGTTCTGCACACTTTTGGTCACTTTGAGTCAGAATCAACTCAGTGGCAACAAACAACTATATGCTTAGTCCCAGTTTTATTGGGTTATTTATCTTTGAAGGATCCCTACTGGCACATAGTTAAGACATTCAGCTAGTTAATGGTTTGAACCCATCAGTCCCTCTGCAGGAAAAACAAGAGGCAATCTATTTCTATAAAGATACATAGCCTTGGAAACCTTATGGGACAGTTCTGCCTTGCCCTTTAGGGTTGCTATGAGTTGGAATTGACTTGACAGCAGTGGGTTTGTCTTTTACTATTGGTAATTTTAGATGTTTTTTGCACTTTCACTTTGAGATTTTTGTCTTTATTTATTTATTTGGCACTCTTCATATGTTTTGAAAGTGTCTTTAGTTTGGCTGTTTATGGTACTTTTCATTTCTGGAAGTATTCTTCTCTCTTCAATAAATTTGTCAGTCCTCCTTTCTCTATTTCTCTGTCCTCCTTAGGCATTTTCTACTAGACATATAAAAATATTTAACTATAATTTCTTCCCGAGGAGTTCTGGTATCGTAGTGCCTGAGGCATTTGACTGCTCACCAGAAGGCTGGTGGTTCAAACCCACCAGCCACCCCTCGGAAGGAAGGTTGGGCAATCTACTTCCGTAGTGATACCGCCATGGAAGCCCAAGGAGGGGTAGTTATGAGTTGGGTCCAACTCGACGGCACATAACAACAACAACAATAATTTCTTCCCACAGTTTTTTCTTCTCACATTTAAACATTTGCTCCATCAGGAACTATTTTGTTCTAAGGGATGAAGGTGAGCTCTAAGTATATTCATGGCCAGACAATTTCTCCAAACTGTTTAGTATAGGAGCTCTGGTGGTACAGTGATTAAAGCATTCTGCTGCTAAACAAAGCAGTTCAAATCCACCAGCCTCTCATAAGTCAGTCTGCTTTTGTAAAGATTTACAGCCTTGGAAACCCTATGATGCAGTTCTGCTCTGTTCTGTAGAGCCACTGTGAGTTGATATCAACTTGATGATAGTTTTTGGTTTTTTATTTACTACAGAATTGTATTTTACTCACTGGTTGTCATAAGCTGATGGGTTTTATGTTCTGTCCTAATCATTTTTTTCCAATTCAGTACTGTTCTGTTTTTGATGACCAAAACTTTTCATTTTATAATCTTCATTGCTTTTATTTTTGGTTATTTTCACTCAGTTCTCAAAAAGTTTTTTTTCAGGAGAACTTTAAAATCACATTTTTCAAAGAGCAGAACAAAGGAAAACAATGCAACCTTGTACAATTGATTTGAAAGGATTTGGCCCTTTGACAATAGTAAGGACTTTTTCTTATTCAGGTACTTAGGAAAGTTTTACACTTTTTGCCACATAAATCTTGCATACTTAACCATGTTTCTTGCTATTGTGAATAGGATCTTTTTCTCCCTCTTCTGCTTTCTAATTTGGTTATTGTTGACATTTATATAAACTATTGGTTTTATTTTATTTTTGTCTCTGACAGACTGACAGAATTCATGTTGTTTCTGATGGCTTTTCAAGTCTTTTTCATTGTTTTTACAACTGTGCAGTCATAACCTATATAATGATAATTTTGGCCTGTTCATATTTTGGGATAATGCTTCTAATGTTCCATAATTAAATATTGGCTTGGGTATTGTTATTGGTGGTGGTGGTGGTGATGGTAGGTAGATATGTCATATTAAAAAGCATTTGTTATTTATCAGATTTACAAATTATGAATGAATGTTTTATCAAATCTGTCTCAGTATCTATCAAGAAGACCTCTTGATTTTATTTTTATCTATTAACATATTGAATTAGTGGATTTGTAAGTACTGATCTGTCCTTGGATTCCTAGGATAAACTTTACTTGGGCCATAGTGTAATGTTTTAAAAAAATACATACTGTTGACTTCTCAGGATATATTCAGGTATTGTTATAGACAAGAAACTTACTCTTGAGTGAAAGTAGCTAAAACAAATGGAAGAAACGAAGATAAAAGAGCTGAACAGAAGATTTCAAAGAGCAGCTCAAGAAGACAAAGCCAATTATTATAATGAAATGTGCAAAGATATGGAGTTAAAAAGCCTAAGGGGAAGAATACGCTCTGGATTTCTCAAGCTGAAAGAACTGAAGAAAAAGTTCAAGACTCAAGTTGCAGTGTGGAAATATTCTATGGGCAAAATATTGAATGATGCAGGAAACATCAAAAAAAAAAAAAAAAAAGGTGGAAAGAATGCATAGAGTCACTGTACTAGAAAGAATTGGTTTATGTTCATCCATTTCAGGAGGTGGCATATGGTCAAGAACCGATGGTATTGAAGGAAGAAATCAAAGCTGCACTGAAGGAATTTGCGAAAAACAAGGATCCAGGAATTGACTGAGGTATGCCTTGAGTT